GTGGTCCTCGTAACGGTCGCCACGATTTTTAAGGCACTTACAATAATCTGACATAAAAAAGTTATAAACAGAATTTTATCAGTTTCTAACTCTGGCAACAAATTGCAATAATAAAAATTGACCAAACATTTTTTTTCCATAAAAAAGCAAGGTCACCTTCAATTTTTTTAATGGAACTGCCTACTTTTTATTGCACATTTTTGTATCTTATCTCGAGAGCTTTTCAAAACACACTAATAAAGTATTTTTTTATTAAATACTATTTGAGTTATTTTATATCTTAATCTGACATATTTTGATGTAAAACATAAAATATCTCGTAAAATATTTAGTTTTCGATAATCTTACCGTAATACTTTTATGTACAGAATAATGAGACAAATCAATTGGTATAAAAAAACAAATAATTGTTTAAAGAATACATTGTAAATTACATACATTTTTAAAAAACAATTATTTTTTTTTATACTAATTGATTTGTCTCATTATTCAGGATTTCAAAAGAAACATTTTTTGTTAATAATATTTTTTTCTACATTTTGTTTTAATACTACAGGGTATAAAATAGGAGTTTTGTGACTTCAATAAACAAACATATAAGTAAAAAAAACAAATTATATTTTTATCTTGAACAAAAAACGAAACAAGTACACGAAAGTGATTCACTTTTTTGACAGTAAATATCATACTTAAAAATTTCTTCATTACCTTCAATATAAAAATAACATCGTCGAAACATTGATTGTCTGTGCTGTTTGTCCTTTACAAATAGCTGTTCTATAAATAAGATGCATGTCAGTTAATTTTATCCGAATGTATCGCTTCATAATTATTGTGATTATAACGTATAATAACGACGACTCGCAGTGTGTGAGAAACGATATTTTATTACTTAACACCACTATTACAAAGAGACTCAAATATAAGTATTTAAAGAGATATCAATTAGTTATCGCGAGATATTCATACGACCGAAGACGCGAACAAACCACATAATAAACCTTATGTTCAAGACAACCAAAAACACACACAACAACCGCAGTTACCTTAGCAAGAGCAAACACACTCGTATTAAAGAACAAAAGAAAGAATTAATTATGAACATAGAAGATTGAGAAATAAATCTCAACAGTAATGATAAACAAATTACATGCAACTTGTCAAAACACACTGAAGACCTCTGCTTTATTGAAAGTTTGAATATCATATAAGACCAAAACGAAACGCCGCAGAGAGAAATATCGTTAACAAAAAATGTTTATTTTGAAAACCTCTATTTCCTTTCAAAATTTGTCGATCTCATTTTTTAACACCGTATATATGTATATATATATATATACAAGGTGTATCTGAAATGATGCATTAAACTTTAGGAGCATATTCTAGAGGTCAAAATAAGACTTTTTTCCTATGAACATGGGTCCGCAAATGAACCCTCCTCCGAGCTAGAGGCCCTTAAAGTTTGGGGAAAAAATAAAAAATTGGCTGTATTTCAGAAAAAAAATGGCAGAAGAAGGTTGAACTATACACCTATTACCCTCTCTTGAGAGATAAATAAATTTGCGTTGCGAGTGTTTGGTCAATTTCACAGGGGGGGGTCATTTGTGGACCCATGTTCATAAGAAAAAAAAGTCTTATTTTGACCTCTAGAATACGCTCCTAAAGTTTAGTGCATCATTTCAGATACACCCTATATATATATCAATATTTATATTATAATGATATCTTTGATATGATATCAAAGATATCATTATGGTATAAAATTGATAGGCGAAATATTATGATACCGTGATGTAATAATTTCTTGCATATATGAAAACTCGTATATTTATATATGAGAATATTATATCACATATACTATTATGTTAACTACCTAAAAATTTTTTTATGAATAAAAATCTGATACATATATTTTACAATAATCAAAATAATAATTTTATTCATAAAATTACAAAATTTTTAATTCTTACCGACGAATGTTTTGGATTGTTATTAGGTTCATTTTTTACAAATTCAATCTTTCTTTCGTGAAATATATATTACAAATTGATTTTTAACCAGATATTCGATATTCGTAACAAATAGATTTATGAACTATAAAGGATGGTGGGACATGAATTCGATTGGAATTAAATTCTTCGGCGAGGTTTAGTTAACGGATTGAAAGTACGAGAGCGAATGTACCAATAATACATTTCCCGCGTTTGGGCCTTTGCACGAGATGTGGAGTCACGTTCGCAATCGGAATTACGATATCAGAGAAAGAGAGAGAGAGAGAGAGAGAGAAAGAGAGAGAGAGAGTATGGGAGTCATTCGCCTTGTGGTTATAACTCGATCGTGCAAACAATAGGATTGCGATGCGGCGCGGATGAATTAACAGATAAAGGGAAATACTCTCGTCAGGAGTCGGGAAATCGATCACTGGGAATGGAATCGTCGAATGGAAACGAGCGAACGCGCGAACGTTTCCAAATATCCTTGAACCCGGAGATTATTCCGTGAATGAGAATTTCTTAAGAGGTTTGTTGCTATTCTCTCTCTCTCTCTCTCTCTCTCTCTCTCTCTCTCTCTCTCTCTCTCTCTCTCTCTCAAATTTCGCATTTCTAGCACAAGGATAGATCAGAGATTCAAGATTATTAATTGTCTGTTTAATAGGAAAATATCCTCTCTTTCTCTCTCTCTCTCTCTTGCATTCCTTATATCTATTGTCTCCGATCGTTGAACTGGCGTCTCTCACCGTTTAGAGGGGAAAGATCCGATTTCGCTCCAGTTCCAGTATATCGCGAGAAATTGAATCTCTATCGGGAGGAGAATGCCGGGGAACTCGATGATACCCAAGAATACGAATATATTCCGAATATCCCCCTCGCTATCTTTCTCGCATTTCTCGTTGATTTATGCACGACGTTTCGCGATATAGAGATATCCCCCGGAATCTTTTCGCAATATTCAGATTTTCGCAGAAGACGATGGCCTTTGACATATAAGCCAGTATCAATATTCGTAACATTTTTGTTTCGTCTCATCGTCAGCTATTTAATCATGTCTGCACGGAATGTCTACTCCTTGGAAAAATATGGAGAAGTTGGGATTCTCAGGGATTTTTTATATCTGCAAAACACTCAGGGAATTTTATTAGAATTCAGAGAATTTTTTAAAAATGTCTTAACAGAATATAGAATATACAGTAAATATTTTTATAGTAACTTTAGTGATAAAAAAATAAAAATGTTATGCAGGTGAAAAATGTTTATTTTAAAGATATTTAATTTTTTTTAGTATATTATATTTTAAAATCTAGCATTTAAAACCTAAGTGGCTTTTTATTTTTCCTTTGTATGAAAAGCATTAGAAAATGTACACAATCAAAAAACTTATTTTTTTTATTTTTAGAAAGTTGCATTTAAAAAATCTCTACAAAAATTTTCTTTATCTGGAATTTTGAACAAGAAAAACTTGGAAACTTAGGGAATTTTCAGGGAATTTTTTTACAAAATTTGAATAGACATCCTGATTACAATTTTCTATTGGCAGTTTTAATTATAATTTGAAAAAAGAGATTTTAAATCAATTAAAGTCCTGTTCGCGTCTTCGTATAGTATTCTCATGCCGGAACTGATGCGATCGGTCTTGACGAACGAGCGCGACTTTTTATATCGATTAATCGATCGTTTGCGTTTGCGAAATCGGTAGACTTAGCGCTAACTTTAGATACACACACGCCAATGTTGTACATAAATACATACACGCATCCTTATATACATAAACACACACATACACACACTCACACACACCCTACCCGTTTAGTTTAGCCGTCAGTGTTGTCTTGCGAACAGTTCAAATGACCACTGGCCAGACAACTACCCCGGGTGCCACGACGACGGACAATAACAGCACGCTGGCCGATTCGCCAGGTCACGAGTTCGTGTCCGATACCATGAGGGTCTCGGACACAGACCTCGAGGAGGTCCGAGAGGGGATGAGAAAGCTGGGGATGCAACCGCCGAAAGGTCAGTTCGTTTAATCGTTGGTCGTCGTCAACTCTCGATCTCTCGTGCTCGCGTCAGATGAGATCTACCCATCTTTTTAACGATGATTGTTCCGGCAGACTTTGCCTCGAGATTTTCCCCCCTGATGGGAAATTATACGACCGGCAGATCGAGTCTGTAGCGACACAATTCTGGAAAACCTTAGATCCCTCGTTTTCCCAGTCTTCCTTAGTTACGACCACCAACGAAGATTTGCTTAACTACATAATAACGGCACCGTTTTTCATTTGTTGGCGATCAACGAATGGTATTGGAGTGGCTCTTGTATTGCAATATTGTGTCGAAAAAGGATCTCTTCCTCTATGAGATTTTCATGAACTTTCGATGAATTTTTCATCAATAAAAATTTAGATCGCATTCAATGTAATAAAAAGAAAAAAGAATTGGAGGCGATACAAAGTACATGATCTCTGCAAATTGTATCTTGAAGTAAGTAATACAAGACCGTTTCTCAAGTAATATCATCAGTCATTTAATAGCGAATTTCTTATCGACCGAGAAATGGCAATTCTTGAAAACTATTCCTTGTTGAAAGAGGAAGAGAGAGAGGGAGAGTGCCATTCATTGATCTCGCCAACAAAACGGAAACGGGTCACCAAAAAAGGTGATCGATGCGAGAGCTCGATCTGTGCCACGACACGGTCCAAGAGTACTCTCTTCGTGAGTATGAAATTAGTGTGTGCCACCAAGTGAGAAGCCTGACCTTAATCTCTTAGTGTTACACCTTGACCACGCCTAGTGTCGTTTCTTTGCGTAGCCTCTCTGTGTATCCGATCTTCGATCTTCCTGTTTGCGCTTTCTTTAGGAGATTGCTTGTTTCCGAATTCTCTGTGAGTTTGTACGACAACGACGTGTCTTTCCTTTCGACGCGTCATATGTCATGTGTCATATGTCATGTTGTTGTCGTCGTGTTTGAACGTCTGTTGCGTTTTAAACGTGTCTCTTTTTCTTTTTTTTTCTTTTTCTTTGTCTCTCTCACTCTTTCTCTATTACATGGACGTTCTGAACTAAACGACCGCTTTTCATTCTATTTTGTCAACAGCCTAAAAGAAGAGGAGAGTGCCCCCCAAATGCCATTATCCAAAGCACACCCCCTCAGAGATGTACATGCTTTCCGCTCTCGAAAACTGACATTTTTTAGTTTTTAGCGGTATACCGAACCTCCTCTCGCCTCTTTTTCTGTCTTCTCCTCTTCCCCCGCTCTTTTCTACTCTTTTTTTTTTAATTTTCCGTTTCTCCGTCACGCGAAGCCGCCCCCGGGCACGAACGTTCCCACGAGACGAATGTTTGTTTCGATACAATCGATCCAGCAATCGACGCGATCCCGTGCCAGTCGCAAGGATCACCTCGACTGAATGCAGATTCGAATCGATGAGAGGAAGCTAGCGAGCTAAAAAAAAGTGGAACGCCCCCAGGATGTGAGATAAAGCAGTCGCGTGAAAAAGAGGAAACAATCTCGGAGCCAGTTTAAGAAGAACGTGTAGTCGTCGTAATTAGACGGCCGGGGATCTGTCATTGAGAGAAAATAAAAACTTAACTGGTATAATGGAAATAAATTTTCACGCAAATTGTTTCGTCTTTTTCGTCGTTATTAAGAGTGATCTCATTTTTTTTTACTTTTACGTAGACAGACCTCAAATGAACGGGCTTTGTAGGCATTTTTTTTTTTATATTCCGATGAGGAGCGTATTTTTTCGTCGTCGTCAAAAAAAAATGTATATTCGGCCGGGCACACGTGTTCGAAAAAAATATTTTAAATGCTCGAGATTTAATTCCAAATACCGAATAGTACGTGTTTTTATTTATTTTTTTTTTTTATTATTTTTGGATATTGATGTTGAGAGTAAAAAGAATGTATTTGTGTGAAATTTCACCCGGCAGTTGCTCGTTAGAGATGCGTCGTTGAGCTCATCGAATTGCGAAAATGAAAGACGCGAAGAAGAAAAAAGTCGTCACGTCGAAACGTTACGCGCGCGAGTGCAACAAATAAAATAGATGCAATAAGAATAGAAAGAAGAGAGCTTGTGCGAGAGAATGAGGTATCAGAAAGAAAATAAACAACCGGACTGGATTACAAAAGGATACTCTGCCTGTTTTGCTGTTGTCTGTCTATCTGTCTGTCTCTCTATCTCTCATTCTATCTCTCTCACTCTTTCTCTCTATATCAATTCCAAATAATCTAATCCGTTTCTCGATTCTCTCTCCGTGTCTTTGTAAACGTGTAATTAACGCAGAAACAACTAGACGCATCTTTGAAGATAAATGAGTGGGAAGAATAATAAGGCAGTCATTGATAAAACGCGAGATATATATATATATATATAAAATAGAAATGCCGCGGCGCGCTATTAATACTGAACATTTTCTCCCGTATAATTTCTCATCTCCCGGTACATCAAATCGTGTTATCTCGTGCGAATAAATTAGACGTTTCGCAAGGGAAAATCCCTCTTTGCAAGGGAATAAAAAAATTCCAATAGATTGTACGTGATACGCGCCAAGTTTCGCGAGCGGAAGGATTATTATCACGGCGGAGGTCGATCGGATTTTTATCGCGCCGCCGCATAAATTCGTTGAATGACAATACGTGTTTCACCGGGAAACGAGCTATAATTCGGTGATCATGTTTGGCACCGCTGGGTGTAACTGTTATAGCGATTTTCCTCCGTAAAAATACGAGGCGGCCGACCGTGGTGTGATTCATTTACACGGCACACCGTCCACCGGGAAAGGCGAAAAAGGGATAATGAATTAATTACGCTTTGGCGAACTTTTTTTTTTTACGTGGGCGAGGCGAGCGGAAACGATTTGCACGCAAGGATTTTACGAAATGCACGCGGGGGATGTGTTAGACGTGAAACACGAATATCAGTTTTCTGTAAAGAGTACCGTATCAAAGGAAAAGTCGATATTCAATATATCGCGATGATTAAACGGATTGCTCATGGAAATCGTTTGATTTGGCGATAACATTTATTTACTTTATATATATGCAAGAGATAGAGCATTTATATAATATGAGAATAAAATAAGTATACAAAATATATCTGATAATACAATCGGAAAAATAATAATTTTACGTGAAAGATGAATCGAAAATGTAGAATAAAGTCTTTTCGCGCGATATTTATTTCCGAGAAAATCGACTTTTAAAGTTGGAAAATTGATGACATATGTGCTTTTTTAAGCTCGAATAATCTTTAACAATCTTGTATTACACATTATCGAATTTATCTCACGACAGTGACTATTAATTATGCATAAAAATATATATTTTATTAAAGAGATAAAATTTAAATATTTAATGAATATCCAGAGATATTTGATATATATATAATATCTCTTTAATTTTTTTTTAATTTAAATTATTTTGTAGTAAATAAAATGTTGCACTTTTATATTTAACTAATATGTATTTGTCTAATTATATTTATCTAAATTATTAATGCCCACTCTCGAGATAAATTTGACGATATATATGATACAAGATTATTTAAACTGAAAAAAAGCTCAAGTAGGCTATCAATTTTTCAAATATCTCGAGTCAATCTCGAAATGTTTCCGACTTTTTTTCATGTAGAATAATTACTTTCCCGGTTGCATTAATTACGAGATATCCTGTTTACAAGCTTGATTCACTATTCAGTTAATAGAAAAAACTAATTATGATATGATAATGGAGGGATTTCTTGCACCTTTTTTACGCAGCAGTTGTGTGTTGTATTTTTTTCGCATTGATTAAAATAATTTTATCGAGAACGCCGCGTAATAGATTCCCGTTCGCGAAAATATCGGATTATCCGCCTTCGGTTCGAGCAGATTCCGATAAAACTGGCGACAACTGAATTATGGCTTTCGGTTCCCGGTTGCACACTTTTTCCCGGTGCACGGACTTCGGTTATCCGCAGCGGGGTTATCGAAATATCGCTCTCTCTCTCTCTCTCTCTCTTTCTCTCTCTCTTTCTGTCTGTCGGCTCGACATGAGGCGCAAATAAGAACGAATCGATGAAAGGTCGGGGAGAGCAAACGCAAGCATTTTGCGAAGCATTTTCAGTATTTCATGTCATTCCGTAAAAAAGGCGACATCTCAAGCGAAAGACAAACTTTTTTTTTTTCTTTTTAAGACAAAAATATGTCTGAATTTTTTGAAAATTTTTTACAGTGTGTGTAATACGGAGACAAAGAGCGATTAGAGAAACGCACCGTAAGATAGTACTATTTAAGGCTTAGCGTTATTAAATAGAGGCCGCGTATTTATTAATGCTTAGTACTACTACTAGTAGTTTTATTCCTACGTACGATAATGTTAGATTAATTCCGCGCTTAAACGATGAATTTGATTTGACTGAAAAATGGTGTCCGAAACTGTTCAATCTGGCACGCTCTGTAGTAAAAAAAACTGTATACAAGGTGTCTACTCCGCGGAAAAAATATAAAAAATTTACTATTCTCAGGAATTTTTTTATACCTGGAAAAATCAGGGTATTTTCGTGAAATTTTTTAGAAAATTATCTCTCATAATTTTGCCTTTATATTGTAAGTCAAGTGAATTATGTGTTCAAAATATATTATAAATATATATCTATCTCTGTTTATATAATTCAATCTTAACAGAATATAGAATATGTAATTTTCTCTCTTTATTGTAATTTTATGTGATAAAAAATTAAAACGTGTTATGCAGATGAAAAATATGTTTATCTCGCAAAAGCTACTCAGTTTTTTTAGTACATTTGCAAATTTAGCACTTTAAGAGGATGCTGGATACCGACAGAATACGAATATTAGTTAAAATGCAAAATATTTTTGTTGATTATAGATATCAACAAATCCTTTTCCATAATTAAAGTATACATAATAATGGAGTGCGGGGTTTATGATTTCACATGAAAAGTGAAAAAAAATTAAAAAATTACAGTTTTGTTATTGGCTTCTGCCGCCAACATTTACTTAATATAAAAAATTTGTAATCTGCACGTGCCTAACAAGTGGACTCCACACACTCGGCATTTTATCAAAGAGTATCAGTGAACTTTGAGAAGTGAGTTTAGAAGCTTTATAAAAAAGATTTTACTATGCAAAATTTTGCACACCGAAATGTTTTTTACTATGCTTCTAAATATATTTTTAAACGTTTACTTATATTCTTTCATGCATTTCCGAGTGGAGAGGTATCTTATTTTGCACGTACTCTGTGTTTTCCTTTTGTATAAGTGAAAAACAATAAAAAACATTTTTAAAAAACTTATTTTGAAAAGTTGATCAACAAATTTTTAAAATATTCTCTTTATCTGGAATTTTGAATAAAATGTTTGAATATACTTGGAAGAACAGGGAATTTTTTCACAAGCTTTAAATGGACACACCCTGTGTATTATACTAAAATTTCACATGTGACATTTTATCGAGACCCCAGCTATACGTCACACAAATTTAATCCATTTTTTTATATTCTTTTTTTTCATAGGAATCCTTTTAAAATAATTACATGAAATTTCATCCACTATGTCAGTATACATATATACAATATCGATTTTATCGTTATATAGTTTTTTATTCATCTATATAGCACCGCAGCTTCGGGCACCTCTGGTTTAGCTTGTTTAGGGTTATATACTGACGGCAGCGAGTTGCTCCGATAATTGCATTCCGAGACGTTTAAGTCGCGATATCCTGATTAATTACTTTTGTAATTGCGCGAGTCGGTCATTTTTGTAACGAGTACACGAGTTAAGCGTTAATGTAATCAATTAGCTATTTCTTCTGGTAATTCGCTGTTATTTTCCTGTAAGAGCTAATATAGTCGACGACAGGTAAAAAATTGACTAAAACTTCAGATAAAGGGTCTGCAGCTTTTTTGCAGACACACTGTATGAATTTTCAGACAGTATCTGAATTTTCAGACACACTGTCTGAATTTTTAGATTCACTGTTTGAATTTTCAGACACACTTTAATTTTCAGATAAACTCTTCTGAACTTTTAAAAAAACGACTCTGATGATTAAGGCAGATTGTTTGAAACTTCTTTCGGACAGCCAGATCTAAAAATTCAGACAAAAATATGTCTAAATTTTTAGAAAATTTTTTTACGGTGTAGTCATCATCGTCATCGTCGTTCGCAACTAGGGATTTGAAAGAAGCGCACGATATTGCGTCGTCCTTAATATAATCACGTAATACGTTTCTCACTCCTCTATCATTGTTTCTCTCTCTAAGACTACTAATCGTATCATCAACGCGTTTAACGAACCGAATTCAAGCTCTTGAAGCAAAAAGAGAGGACATCGTGGATGCCCTTCCCTTTCGCTTCCGTTTCGTGTGTTCTCTTGCTCTTTCTCTCTCCGCCTTTTCGATTTCTCCATTCCTGTGATTTTGATTTTTTTTGTCCTCTCCTCTCCCCCCTCCCTCATTCCCCTCTCACAATCCCGACTCTAAAACACGCATACACTTTCACACACTTACATACTTTACACGCGCTGTCATTTCCGCGCACGAGAAGCTCAGATATTCAGGGCGCGGAAACACAAACGCACCGACACGCAAAACAGACAGACAAAACAAGACCAGAGTGCCGGCCCTCTCTGCAAAATAGCTACAACGCTGCTTCTGCCTCTCCGCAGAAGAAGATTGGGAACGTGAATTGGAGGCTGAGCTAAAGGATTACGAGGTTGTAACGGGCGGAGGCGGCAGCCACGAGAAGAACAGCGGCAGCAGCATGGCCACGAAAGATGTCACGATGAACGATAATGATTGGGAGAAGCACATCGACGAGCTGCTTGCCAACGAGGACGACGAGGATCTCAAGTGAGCCGAGGAAGAGATCCTCCTCGTGACCGGATAAATGGGATCTCTTCACATTAATATCACCAGCGAGATCGGCGAGCTCGCGTTAGAAACATTCTCTCTGATCGAGAGAAGCTCGCGGATTTGTTTTTGTACGTGTTTATTACATTTATTACTCTTTCGTCGATCTCTCCCACCTCGACACACAAGGAGAAAAAGCGAAAGACGAAGCGATGCTCGAGATGAAGCGAATCATCGATCAACTTTATCTCTTCTATGAGAGATCGATACGGCGATGGATTAAGGATGTACGATGTGCATTAATTTTGCGAGATGAAATATCATAATGCGGTTTTCTGAGAAAAGGAAATCCATTTCGGTCAGCGATTCAACGTGTGAGAGAGAAAAAAAATTGATGTGACATTCCGCTACAAAATTCTTTTCGTTATAGATTCCAGATTTTTTCTTTTTTTTTTTTTTTTTTTTTTTTTTTTTCATTTGTTACGCGGAGTTTGCGTGCTATTCAAGAGGATAATAAATGTTTGATCGCCGTTGTATTGACACGAGATTTTCTTTTTTCGCTGGTTTTTCCTTTACATCGAGAAGATATAAAGCTGCATTTCGTTAGCTTCCTTTATTTCCAGTCGTCCCGCGTCAACTTTGAAAGACTGGAAGACCTCCTTTCGTCGAGTTACAAAGAACCGCTTCGAAAAGGATTCCTCTTCTCATTTCGATCCATCGCCGATCCATCTCCTGAGAGAAGGAAATGCGAATTTAAAAGACGACGCATGATTCTTTGAGGATCGGCTTGTGTCCTCGGGAAACGAGGAGCAGAACAAGACGAAAGAACCAAAGGCGTAAGGATATGGACTGGAAATCGCCAAAAGTGGCGGTGCAAAAAAGTGGAAATTGTATTATAAAGAGCAAAAGTGGGAGTGAGAGAGAGAGAGAGATAGAAATGTTGTCTCTTTATTGTTTCTCTTGTTTTTTTTTCCTGTTTTTCCAAAACGATTTCTTTGCGATCCACGAGCACAATGAACACGATAAACACGATGACCGCCGTTTCGTAGCTCGAGGTAAGAGAAAAAAAAAGAAAACAAAGATTAATCGTATATTCATGCGATTATATTTTCTTATGATTGTGAAAACATTCTTGCTTCTGGCCTCGAGTTACAAAACGATGATTCGCGCTGAAGGGTACGTGAATTAACCAACATCACATACAGACTTGTGTCAATTATTGGACGGTCTTGTCCGAGAATATAACGTTGAATATAACAATAAAACATCGTTTTCAAAATTATGTGATTTTATATATATATAAATTAATTAATTTGAATACGTACCCGGAAACACGCATGGGTCGACCGCGCGCTCTTCATCGTGGCCGCAGGATCGACGATTCTCTTCAAAATAAATTAATAATTCAAAATAAATTGTACACTGCCGTGTGCCGAAGGACACAGGTTTCGAGTGCGGTTCGACGATTACTGCGATCGGCGGCGCACTTTTTGCTACAAAATAATTCTGGAAGCTATTTGTCATAATCTTCTTTTAATATAACAGAAAAAAAGACTTTTTCTTCTTCAGAAGAAGAAGAAAAGGTTTTCTTCTCTTCTTTAAAAAAGGAAGAAGTTTTTTTCTCTTCTTTAGAAGAAGTTTTTTTCTCTTCTTGTTTTCTTCAGAAGAAGAAGAAAATAAAAAATCCGCTTTTGCAAAATAAAAAATAAAAATGCGTAAACATAAATGCGCCACCGATGATCGTCGTTCTTTCTTTCCAATCCCAGCGCTGAACATTTGTCATTATTGATTGTCAACAATTATTTCGATCGCGAAGTGTAACGTCATTCCACGTAGGAGCATGCCAAAGATAATGCGAGAACCGCTTCGGCTCGACGAATGACATTTTTTATCTGACTTGTGGCTAAAAAAAACGAGAAAGGCACTAGATTTAGCGATATAAGCGTTTTGCGTGTATGTTTCTGATGAAATATGTATGTGACGATGATGATGATGTTGAGAGAAGAATGTCTTTAATTTGTCAATTGTAGGAATGTTACGTTGTTTATATTGTGTCAAAGTTAAATGTAAGAACGAGACGTATTCGCGTTGTCTGTACGGACGAAATATCGTAAGAATAAATCTTATTGCGTTCGCATATAATTATATATATATATATTGCAATATATTATTCATAATCGTAAATTAAAAGCGACGGAAATGAAATTTTTCATATCAATTATGTATCCCAGAGTCGACTGACATTTCGATGCGATTATTCGCTGCGCGACATACCGTCCAATCGTCCTCTGCCATAGAAGAGATAGGAAGAAGAAACAGCTGATTCGTAGACGGAGAGAGACTTTTTGCGACAGTAAAATATCGCGTTTCATAAAAAGGCTACGGTTTTACTAAATATAATTTCGTCTAATTAATTAATTAGATATTATAGATCCATCTATATTCTATAGTATAGATTTATCTCTATAATATCTAAATTAGATATTAATTTAGATATTATATAATAATATATATAGCGCAAATTTTAGAGATAGATGCGATACTAAGCTTTATCCTGGATATCTTCTCCGTGCAGACAAACAGATCTCGGACAGCAAGAGAGAAATTTATTACGTGTGCAAATGCAGCCATGGCAAAGTACTGTAAGATACTCGAAGCTCACGATTGTTGTCGTAATGTCAATGACACGTGAATGTGATAAGATGAAGGACGCGCGGAAAGGATAACAAACGTCAGATCAAAGCGAACGATCAGAGTAAAAGGCTAAATTTATGGTGGGACTCGGAAGAGAATATATATTAGACTTTCTAGTGAGTTTAATTTTAGTACACATTTTATCGCGTGGAATATCACTGTATCTTAAATGAAACCATTTGTAGCATATAAACAAATAAATAAAAACAAATGCCGCTTATTATTACTATTATTTCATATGTAATAGTTAAAAAAACTCATCCACATTTTAACGTTAGATCTTTATTCGTTTTTTTTATTTTATTTATTTATTTATTAAGTAGGAATAGCAGAGAAAGTAAAATTTCGCTATTTTATCAAAAATTTATTGTTTATCTAATTTATGAAATTGTTATTATGATAAATGGGATATTCTCTTGCTATGATCTCTTTATATCACTGTTTCTCTATTAAGTAAATTATATTAAATAAAACGATTATTTTGAAAAGTACACGAGATAACATTAATCGTAAAAATTTATTTTATTAATGAAAATTTGAAAACGTCATTACTTGAATATCCCACACGCGCCAATTTAAAGGTTAATTAATTAATATTATAATTTTAATTATAATATAATATAATTTATTATAATTTAATTATAATATTAATTATAATTTTTAACTATTTTTATATAATTTCATTGCTCTCATCAATTGTGTCCGTAAAATAATTTTAAATATTCTGTTGAATAAAAACAATCCTGTATCTTTATCGTACATTTAGCGTTGAGTAGAAGCGGGTGAAGATTTTATTACAAAGATAACTGATTGAATATGGATTAAATTACTATTTTTATCTAAAATTAATATTTTATCGCTAAATGTATGCTAAAAAAGATAAGAATATTTTTATAAATTTTTTTTTTAAGCACACGATTTTCCCACCATAAATTCTGCAAAAAAAATGAAACTGTCCGCTCGCGCTCTTAAAAACACCGTTTCACATCGAACGTGTTCATCTTTCCCCGAGCAAGCTCGTTATAAAGATGTAAAGTTTCCATTTGCGTTAGTCTCGATAGTCGGGCAGATAAGACTTGTAAGATATACCCTTTAGTCGGAGGCGCAATTCACACCCAGGCCTAAGTCTGTCGAAGTAATGCAAAAAAAAGGCGATAATCGCAAAAAAATTTCTCCGCTCTTCGTTATTTATGCGCGGCTCGAGTCGAGAGTAGTTCCTCCGCATTCTTCATTCGAATCCCGAACCTTTCGAACTGTGTATAAATATAAAAATATCACGAAAGAAGAGTACTTTCCCTTCTCTCTCTCTCTCTCTCTCTCTCGCCTAAGAATAAAAAAAAAGAACAGCACTCTAAATTTCCATGCGCAAGAACGTCGTTTTATTTTCTGCGAAAGCGACAAAAGGTAAACGCGAAATGGCTAGAAATATCGTGGTGTACTTCGGCAGAATAACAAAGCGAACTCTGTGAATTAATTGTGTAATAAAGCTATCCTACGGTATTGTGTGTGTGTGCATTCACACTCGTGAACAAAAAGAAAATGAACATACATGCGATATTTAATATATACATATATATGTATACACGTATACATATGGATAAATATATATATATATGTTGTTGACTCCATTGAAAGTATGATAATATATTATGGATATATTATAATGAGAATATATATATATATATACATATATATATATATAATGACACAAGCATTAAGATGAAATTATTGAGGAAATTATTAATGTAATGGGAAAATGTAACAATAAAAGTCGTACGAAATGAAATAAAATGAAATATTACCTCTTATAAAGTAATGCCTTTTCTCCCTTATAGATATATGCATATCATTTCCCTTTTCATTCCTTTTTTCAAAGCACATAATTACACAGTAAATGTGCACATAAAATATATAAAATTATGCTCAATATAAAAAATAGACACACACATTCAATTATAATATTCTAAATAAAGTTACAGGAATACATTAATATTTCGTTTTATAATACTCTATAGCAAACGTCTTACACATAATTGCATATAAATATAATAATCCAATATTGTATTAAAATAAATTTTTATTACACATCATTTGTACCATAATATTTACAGATCTTTCAGAAAATGTATGTACATCAATTAACATCCCGATCCTCATACATTCTACTTGATTCGAAATTCATATACTCATGAGATTCCTATTATTGTTATTAACCTTATAATAGAGTATTTGCCAGTATTTGATTATTAAAAAAATTACAAATTAAAATATAATACGATTAATAAATTATTAATCGATATAACTTGATCGAATAGAGGAAGGAAGCTATACTGATTGAGTTGGCATTACAAAGAAAATCACAAATAGTACTGCAGTCGGCCAAGCGAAATAGGAAACGCGAAATACGTATTACATAAATTTATGAAACGCTATATTCCAAGTATAAAAGCGAAATCGAAAAACTTGAGTGATATACTAAAGCATCTAGAATGTTTGAGCAGTTAATCTCTTTTACGTATACAGTGGATTTACTTCATCAATCTGTCTGTGGCGAGTATTTGAAATTTCAGATCAAAATATACGTATATATATATATATATATATATATATATTTTTAATTGCGAAAAATTTTGTATATGATATCTTTTATATAAAATTCATTGTATAAATTCTCAAACTATAACGCTTAAATATAACTGACATCTTTTTCGTTCCATCATTTACGTCATAATAAATAGGAAAATGGAGTGGAACATTTAAATTATCTTACATGTGTTAAGTTTCTGAGTTGACTTAAATACAAGCCCGGCTTATGCGGAACTAAATGTAACGTTAGCGAGTTTTAATACTAATAATGTAATCGTACTGTCAAGATTCGCGTTTTAAAATAACCTTTAAATCTTCTGGCAATACGTGCGTAATGTCGTTTATTCTTTCTCGTAATTTCTCCCTCACCGAGTTATCGATTGGTACGTCATCGATGCAGCTTCTCTCCAATTTTTGGCGAATCCTAAGAATCATATCGACTACCTCCACTTCTTGCTTTCCCTGCACCCACGTTTTCAGGTCCTATCCACGCGAAATGTATCGAGAATATTAGAAAGAATACAGAAAAAAAAGATCGATATTTTAATACGTACTGCTTGCGACAATTTTTCCAATTGCTTAGCTTGCAATTGCTGACTCAACTCTGTATATCTAGTATGGAACCATCCAGAGAAGTTGGGCGATCGAAAGAACCGTTTGTACAATCCTACCCAATCCCCCTTTATACCTGTAGTCAATTGCGGACCAGAGCTACTTAAGCTAGCTAGGAAGTCATCTGGATTGAACATTTGTGGTGTAGGAGTTGCCTAAAGTAGTCGCATTATTACACTTTACATGAGCCGAGAGAAAGAGATCCTATAATTATTAAAATAAAAGTTGATTTACCTTAAAAGGTGATATGTTCTTTTGCAGTGGCATGAGAGTCGCGATGTATCTCTCGAGCGGAATCATAAAACTCTCGGTTAGCTCTATCAAATGACGTTTCAAGAGCGCGGTCTGCACCTCGCCCGGCCGTTTCGTCTGAATGCCCCTGAACAATTTCTTCAAAATGGTCTTGTCCTTCTGCAGAAAGGACTTGTACTGAGTATAAACGCCAGGTTTGGAGTCCAGCACCTTCAGATTTTCGGACCTCTTGATTTTGAATTTTAGATCTTCTGAAACATCAAATCTTAAACACACACGCCACTAGTAGATAAACATTATAGAACTTACCGCTGTTGTTGCCGTTGCTTATCCGAATGATATGCGGCCAATGTTGCAGAGTCTTGGCAAAGAATGGATTGGTCACGCCTAGGATTACAGCAGGCGGCGTCGGAGAATCCGTGGTATATTCCTTAAATTCCGAATCGTGGATAGTGAAGTACGGGCGATGATCGGCGCAGTACTTTAATGGCGCAATCATGCTAGAAAATGGTTTTTTTTTTTTCCTTTCTTTCTCGGTTATTCGTCATAAGTATATGATAAAAATCTCGAATGTTTCATTGTACTTACGCTATAAGCGCTTGAACTAGTTCGGAACACGTGGTCGGCGAGCTAGCCATTACAACGATCGGCTCGCTGAGAAGCACCAATTCCCACAATAAGTGTACATAACTAACAACACTGGCTAGACTCCGAAACATGTCGCCTTCGTAGGCTGACGTCAACATCAGTCTTCGTGTTGCGTGTACATTTGGTGCATGTTCCATGGCAGCTATTGAGGGAACAGTGGCTTTACAATTTTGGTTTGGGATGTATGTCTGTAACAGTTAGATGCTGTATAATATATGCAGTGTCTATACGTAAATATTAAAGCGGTTTTATAATTTATAACATATGTTTTACCTGGAATAACACACCGATGAGAGGTAAATGAACTATCTGCCCTGGAACTGGAGGGGGCCACTGATCGATCTCGCGTACCACAGCGTCCATGAGTGCCGTTCCGGCCTCGAAAAATTCCGGCGCGATTAAAGCGCACAATTCACCAAACAGATTGACGAACGGCAGTTTCGTAATTATAACAACACTCTGAAAACGCGATTTTGCGATTGGTCACAGAATTTAAACGAATGACAGTAATCACTTTTATAGCAATACGAACCTTTTGGAAATATCCTCTTGGCAAAGACTTATCCTTCACTTGCCGAAAATATACGTATCCCCAGTAATAATCTCTATCAGTTTGTAGAAAAGAAGGTGATTTTCTGTCATATTCTTCAAGTGCACTGGTTTTCTGCATCATTTTGCTACTTTGTCTTATTCTAACATGATATTGAGTGTCTCCCATGCATCCAGAGTTGGAGTCAGGGAAGGCTAAATAACAGACATTGGATCTCTCTTGCTCCGATAATTTAATATGACTCGGATAAATTGCCTGCGTAGAAAAAAATATTAACAAAATTAAAGATTAATACACAAAAGTGTATTCCGTTTTAGTTAAAGCAAAGTGAAATAATATTATCGTACCTCTATAGCTTGGCCCAATTCAAGATCAAAAGTAACAATGCATATACAATGCACCCAATTATTAAAACGCTCCCATTTTTCATACATCACTTTCTCCTTAGCGTTTACACTATCCGGCTCTTTACTCGTCGAGCAAGAAGGAACTGACATTGTTTCTTTTTCTACTTATCTCACTATCGATCTAGTTGCTAGATTGTATATTGGCGTATGTGTTATTCGTCATTGTACAATATGACCTTCCACATGACACCTGCACTATAGCAATTGACTAATTTTTATGTCACGTTATGACAAAATGCGCATAAAGATTCTGAAAAATATAGATTTCACACATCTCAGTATCATAAATATAAAATCTGAACAAAATTCTTGTAATCCAAATTAACTTACCGCTATATATATATATATAAACAATATATATATATATACATTAACTATAAATCTGTTCTAGGAAGTTGATTGCTAACTTTGATTATCCTACTCGGGCTACTGTTAGTCTCGAAATCTTTGTACCCTGTTCGATGATACTTGAAAATATGGAATAACCCCTGTGTGTCCTTCCGAGGATCGAGACCACCCGTTTGCGTGCAACGCCTAGTCAAAGGAGAGGAGTAGCCACGCATAACGTCGTGCAATTGTTAAAATCTCCTCCATATGCTCTCCACGTTTAAATAACAATCCGTCAAACGATACGCCAATAGATGAGGGCGTGCGAGCGAGAATCGTCGAGGCGGAACAGCTGTGTACAGTTGACATTTGTGTAGACACGTGGTGCTCCCCTTCGCACCCTCGTAGAAATTCCTCATAGTGTTTTGGATATCGATGATATTTATTATAATTAGGCGCCTTATAACCTCCGTCCAAAGAATCCGCTTTACGATTGCTCGATGACAGATATTCAGATTAATCCGCTTCAGAGCAGTCACCTTCATCCGTCTCTCGCGAATAAATTAACATCATCGTCCAAATTATATCCTCAACACTTCACACGTTCGTATATGTTTCCCGTTCCTTTATACATGACTCTCACCGAAGCGGAAAGCATCGAGGAACCATAAGCGCATCCCGAGACATGGCAGCATCCTTTTCGGTTCACCGTTCTCTCCTTAGAACATATATAAATGGAAGAGGAATGCCTATTGTTCTCGAAAGAAAAACATGTCCGGAGGAAGTGAGAAAGAAGATCATAGTTGCCTCTCTCTTGTGAGTAACTGCTCAAAAGTGCGCATGCGCGGTTTACGTTTGGTTTGGCCCACTGAAAAATAAGGTTATGTTAGTTACATGTTGAAATATATTCATTCCAGATTCTAAACTTCATTGTAAAACGTGCCCATTCGCGAATATACAGTGCTAAATTCAAACAAGATGGGCTTATATTGTATTTTATGCGGTAGAAAGGACAAATCTGTTTCCTATTTACGGTGAGTAAAAATGTATGTAATTTATTGTCAGTTTGCGTGATGTCAGTAATCTCAGCAATGAATTTAATTATTGAACTATTTAAATTAGTTACTATTAAAACTATATTTTTTTTTTTACATTTTAATTACATAAATGCATTTTATTTGTCAACAGATTTCCATCAAATAAGCATATCAGGAAGCAGTGGTTGAATTTCTGTAAGAAGAGCGAGAAAAATTTGTATGACTCACACAGATTATGTACAGATCACTTCAAACCCGAGGATCTGAAAAAGCGTTCAAGGTGTGTCGTTGTGCAGGCAGAAGCTGTGCCTTGCATATATTCGGTGAGGGCACACTTCTCTATTGTTGGAAATGCCAGTAAAGGCTATTGCACGTTAAAAAATTTTAGTCATAATCGTAAGGCCGTAAACAAATCGATCAATCACAATCAAGTATTCTAAAACGTAATAACAATATTTGAACTGTGATTGATTGATTGATTTGCTTACGGCTTTACGGTTATGACTAAAATTTTTTCACATGCAATGGTCTTCAGACTGATGATGACAATATCTGTTCCACCGGAATCATGAATAGTGATTTGAAGAATGACAATATTATTGCCGTGAATTATTCACAGTCCACAACAGTAACAGAAAGTGAGTATCATTTTTGTTCGTATATCTATTTAAACGTTTTGTACACACCAGCAGCGAATCAAAACATATACCAAGACATTAACTTTTCAATAATCAAATAAGATATTCGATCAAAGTGTAAACTTGAAAGATGCCAAAATATTAATCTTTTATATATCCAGCTTGATATCTAAATACAACCAGAAGTTATATTTTCGGTAACAAAAAATTCGTACAACTTTTATTTGTTGATACACACAACATTTCGTCAATCTTTGTACTGTGGCTTTTAATAATCCCTTATATACTATTTCTGTGACAGATATAGATAGCGATCCTGCTCATTGTACTGGAATAGGCAATTGTGAAATTCCTCTGGATGATTGCCTAACTTCCTTGATACGGGAAGAAGATGCTCATTGCAGCAGCAAGAAGGAACGTTTAGATTCCGATTTTAGTGAATTGGTTTCTAATGATGGTATTGATTCAACAATCCCCATTCAAAAATTACCAGTAAGTATTACTTCATTGAAGTAAGTATTTGTACCTTATATAAAATAAATTTTTCACACATAACTATTACAGTTCTAAGATGGCGTTTTGTATCTTTCTTTACAATAAAAAGTACATGTTTTACAATAAATATGATAAATTTCACATTGTTCGATAAAAATATAAAATAATTATATTGTAATTATATTTAATCCTTCCAATATCTATTAATTTATTTTATATTTTATGACCTAAAAATAATAAACCCCTATTTTGTATTGAATATAGTAAACATGTATAATAATATAAGTTTTGCATAATCTATCAGGTGTCTGCCCTTACACCAGCCATTTGTGATTCTGCTCCACCAATGATACTAGATCCACGTTATGTTGGTGATATCCAGTTATCTCATCTGGCAACACCAAGACAAGCTACAAAAGCCATCAATGTAATGCGACGTACTGTTACACAGCAACGACAGAAAATTGAAACATTGCAGAAAAAATTCAGTAGATGCAAGCAACGTATATCTTTGCTAAAGGATCTGGTCTCCGATTTGAAGAAAAGAAATTACATTTCTGAAACTGCTGCTAACATTTTAATGGTACGTTTAAATAAAATTTATCTGTCAATGAAGGCTCCAAATAAAGCCAAAAGAAACGATCATATTCGACAAAAATATTCAAAACTAATTTTATTTAAACACGAATAAAATTGTAACAAAGTGTAAAATAATTTCACCGTATTATATTAAAAGTACTTATTGATTTCCTCAACACTGATTCATTCCTTCCTTCATTTCTTTATTTATATAAATACATAAATATATTATACATTTAAATAAATAAATATATATTTATTTATATTTATAATTCGATTGATCGATTATAATTAGCATCGATTAGTTCATTATTTATTCATTCTGACTCGTTTATTCATTTTAGTTATTTATTTTTATTCATTTCTTGACTCATGCATTTCATCATTTATTTATCTATTTATTCTCTGATTTTTTCCATGATTTATTCATTAAAAAAAGGACATATACAGGGTGTCTGATAATAATCGCCCCACCCGTAATGTGCGGGTAGAGCGGATTAAACCGAGCAGGAAAGTCGTTTACCATTTTGTAATAATTATTGAGAAATTAATTAAAAAAGATCGACCAATTCGCACGAGTATAAGCACGCAGCGAGAAGAGACAACCCAAAAGTAAGCGCGCGACAAAGTTTTGGGAGGAGTGCTCTACAAATGATAACAGTTAACAGTTACGTACGAGCAATACATAACGATGGATTCTCACGTTTTAGCAACCACATATCAATGCCGCCCATCTTTTCTCACCACACGAATTGTAATACTCGCGCGAATTGGCCGATCTTTTTAAATTAATTTCTCATTAATTATTGTGAAGGTCGCAAAACGGTAGAGGACTTTCCTACTCGGTTTAATCCGCTTTACCTATACTTTATTACCGGTGGGGCGATTATTATCAGCCACCCTGTATATGATTGATTTGTGGAGATATCTACAGACACGATGCTTGTGTGCGTTCGCAAATGGCGCGCATGCGCACTTTCGAATAGTTACTCACAAGAAAGAGGCAAATACGATTTTCTTTCTCACTTCCTCCAGATACATTTCAGCCTGCTATTCTGCTATTCCCTTCCATTTATATACAGGGTGTTCCAAAGTACCCTTGACAACGCTCGTGAGCAGGTAGAGCCTTAGAACATATATAAATGGAAGGGGAATAGCAGGCTGAAAAGTGTCGAAGGAAGTGAGAAAGAAATCGTAGTTGCCTCTCTCTTGTGAGTAACTACACGTACAAGCATCGTGTCTGTAGTATACATACTTTGGTGTACACACACATGGCCGCGCATGCGCACTTTTGAGCAAAGTAACTCACAAGAGAGAGGCAACTATGATTTTCTTTCTTACTTCCTTCCGACATGTTTTTCTATCGGGAAACAAAGAATATAATCAGAGAAGCGACATCATAGACATAGTATATCTAGACAGTGTTCCGATTAGGGACCGGCTGTACGCGCATGCGTGCTTTTGCGCATGCGCGACGGTGAGAATTAGCGATGTACATGATGCGTGCAGACGTTGTAGCGGGACGTTACGACAGCTGGAAATTAAATGATATATATAAGATAAGATTTTTATATGTTTAATCGTTCTTTAATTAATCACAATGTATATTTTTATCTATATATGTATATATTTTATTTCTTAATACATTTTTAAAACATTTTTTAAATATTTTAAATGTAGCCGGGTAATAGTGCCTCTTTTTATTTGTATAAGATACTTTACTGATGCCGTATTCCCGAGTTTACTGTGCTCTACCTGCTCACGAGCGTTGTCAAGGGTGCTTTGGGACACCCTGTATATTCTAAGGTTCTCTCTCAGCTCTCACAGGGTGCGAACTCATGCAGTAGAATAGCATAACGCGAAACGAGAGCAAAGCCAATCACAAGAGTTCTGCAGTTTTCGCAACGAGGATTCCAAGTCCCTACATCCCCATGGAGCGTAAAGGTGCGAACCCATGCAGCAGAATAGCGTAAAGCCCGTATCAGACTACGCATTGAAGATTGAGATTAAAGATTGAAGATTGAAGATTGTCCAATCACATGTAATCACATTATAAAGCCCGTATCAAACTATGTATTTAAAGATTAAGATTGAGATTGAATGCATAGTCTGATACCGATAGAAGATTGTCCAATCACACTATACCTACGATCTATATTGAAATTATCAAATTTTAATTAATATATATATAATATGATGGTCAATATGTTTCGTACAGCAATATCAATAAATATCATGAAATACTGCAAGTATATAGCAAAATATATTCTAAATCATTATTTCTGCCTTCTATTTATTGATTATTACCAACTGTCATGAATCTATCACATGATTAAAAATTGGCATGCCATTGGCTGAGATTGAGATTAAAGATTGAGAAAAATAGATTGAGTATTGAGTTGCAATCTCCAATCTCAATATTTATCTGCTTCTTCCTGATTGGTTAAATTCCAATCTTCAATCTTCAATCTCAATCTTCAATGCGTAGTCTGATACGGGCTAAACAAAGGGTGCGTTCCGTTTCACGCATTGAGCGCATAGATCGCCTGGAAATCTATAATAT